TAATATGAAGGCTACCTAAAAAAGAAGCTTTGCTTCAGACTTTACCTAAAGTGAACCTCGAGTTTACCTACTGATGGAACTCTGTACATTGTATCCCTAATATTACCTAAATAACCAAAAGTAAATCTACATATAGGTACATTTAGGTAGTTACCTAGAGTGAACATAATTGGAATATTTGATCATCACCTAAAGTGATCCTCAATAGGATTTTAATATGGGGAATAAACCTAAAGCAAACCTAAAAAGTGCCTGATCCGTGCCTGAGTCTATGCCATGTAGTCTACTGCATAATTTTAGTTGTTATTCTCATAGTCATTTGTCATTTTCATCTTTTCAGGACTCCACTCATTCATATTTTCTGATTATATAAGAATTTTATATTTTCTGACTATTACTTAATTCACTTTTTAGGAAAACTGAAATTTTCTTGGATTTCAAGGTCAGAACATTTTCTGCAATTTTGGCAAGATGGTATAATATCAACTACATTGTATTTAACGAGAATTCTATCAGCAATCTCAATTTTTAAGACTAGTTTTGTCATCAGGATTTAGAAAAGAAATTTTTAAAACATAAATAGAACAAGACATAGCTTTTTTCCACACTTAAAAATTGATAGCGAACAAGGTGGTTCAAGCCATTCATCTCAGAAACTCTGAATGGCAGAACTAGAAGTCAAACTAAAAGATTTTCTCCATTATTCAATCCAATAATAAATGTGATTTATTTTTATATCATCATCCAGTATTACATAGCTATGTTGTTTAAAGTTCTGTATGTTCTGTAAGTTTCAATAGTTTCCATTTCACTACTTTGAATTAATACGAACCACAGTTTTAGATGGAATCAAATGCTATATGGAAAAATAGCATGACTTTTTTTAATTAAAAGTATTGTTTTACGTAGTGTAGCAATGTTACATCGCAATGCTCATAGTGTCATGCAATGGATGGACTAGTCTACATGACTGTATATTTATCTATAGTTAGTCTAAGCTGACAGTTTATAATGGCCCCTATTATAAAAATAATTATCAATGAACCAATCATCATCCAACCCAAAATCAATGCAGTTTTCATAATCAGTTCAGTTTCATTATTGTCCACAATAGTTGCCCATGGGGCAATAGTTGGGGCATACAGTATCAACCCTACAACCCAGAACCAAATGCCTTGAAGTAAGAAGGCATAACTCCGGGCGAATCCTCCCAGGTGGCTCTGAGGTGTTGTGTATTCAACTGCCAGTGTGACAACACCGAATCCAATAATACATATCAGAATTGAATGGAGTTGTATGTCTAGATCGTCACGATCGTGGATATGGAAATAAAAGAGGACCCCTTCTACTAAAACTGCTAGTCCAAAAGTGATGTAATCCGTTCCTTCAGGGAGTAGTTTTTGATGATGTAATAATATGTCCACTAAACCTGATACCAACATTCCTGCATACATAGTCACATGGTGCCAGTTTCCCAGTTCCATTTGCCCATCTTTGAATCCCGTAACAAGTTCTCCAATAATACCAACTGTTGAAGCGACAACTTTTAAAATTCCTTCCACTTGAAATGTTTTAAGTCCTTGACAACAACAACCACAAGGAAAAGTCAAAGAGTTCTTATACTCCAAATTTTCCCGCCTTGAAATTAGATAACGCTTCCATATGTTGACACTCCACCATATTGCAAATAAAATAAATAATGTTCCCGGGACTGCGTGTCCCAATAACGTCCCCATCTTACTTCACTATTTTTTTACTTTATGAATCACATATGGGATTATGGGTGGATCAAAACTTTTAGTCTATTTGTTTCCTGTCTTATTCTGTTAATGCTTAAAAATAATCAATACATTCATGCTTTACTGCAGGGCCTTTTTGTCACCATTGAAAAATCAGTAATGATTGTCATGCTGCTTCAGTACCCTTTCCTCTCTAAAATTTGAATAAAATGACTTCTTACACTCAGATTCAATTTAAAGAGTTGGCTGCATGGCTGTATAGCATATATGTATTTTATTTCTTACTGATTCCATTATCTCCTTCCCTATATTGATTTCATAAAGATTACCTCCATGATATTCTTCTTAGGGGTTTATGCCATATTGTTTACTTATATTGTCTACTTTCTGTTATCAATAGAGTTTTTGCCCTGCTTTCCTTTTGATACATACATGTAAATTTCTATTATCATTGATATTGTATAGGTTGTTTTTAAAGTTTTCTCATTCCATAATCAATATTGCAGCTTGTCAACAGACAACACAGAACTTGTTTGCATTTACTGTACCATGAATTAAGTTAATTAGTTTTGAAGTTGAATGTATCAGAATTAATAAAAATTGATCAATTCCATCAATTGCACATTAATTCCAATTTTCATATCAAATTCAATTTTGATGACGTTTGTGTGCGATATGCCTCATGATTTCCTCATTATTTGATAAAATTCCAATCTATTGCAAGGTACTTTAGTGATATATTTCCATTGTCGTTGTCTTTAAAAGTAGTTTCATTCAAAAATCTAAAAACAGTAAAACCTGCGTGTATTGAACACTTACTTGCTTTGTTTGAAAAAATGTTTGGTTTTAGTATACGTTTTCACTACAGTGAGGGTAATTTAAACAGAAGTCAATAGAGGAAGGGTGTCCACTAGAGGCAGGTGTTCACTAAAGAGAGAGAGAGGTGTTCACTGAGACAGGTTTTATTGTATTGCAAAAGCAGTTTACAAGGATTGTTAAAGAAACACTGACTTACAGTCAATTGGCTCAATAAATGCATCACTTAGTATCATATAGCATAATAGACATGATACAGTATATTAACCAGTACTATGAATTATTTTCAGATCAACTTTCAGGTCACCTCTTACATTACGGAGTTAATTAATGAATGCTTTCAATAAATGTAGTGAATTTTTTGATGGTTAAATGGTGGTAAAAGCTTATTTGAACGTTCTTATCTTCTCATTATATCACTATCGTGACTTTCAATTCAAAACACATGTGTACAATGAAAAATATTGAATTTAAGAGATTGTCTCCCTTGAATCAAACTAAAGCATGGAGCAATTGTGATTATTATTAAATTATATGCTTGACTAAGGAATAACAAAAAAATATTAAAGCTCTTATAGGCTGTTATTGTAAGTATTGACAGGTTGCCACAAAATGAAATATTGACTTAAAATTGTTAACAAATTACAAAGTTTGAATTTAGTTTCATATTACAAACTTGAAAATGAATGAATTTCAATATTACGAAACACCTAGGTATATAGAGTTTATGATAATGGACTGGTATGATGCCAACAGGTGGGCAGATACGGTTCAACAGATACTTATTTTCAATCATAACTTGCCTTTAGTGCCTTTTTAATTTTAAAAAATATGATACCTGTCAGGCCCATAGCCAGGATTTGCCGAGGGGAGGTTCAGTTTTCAAAAATTTCCAGGGGGATTCACATCTGACAATTTTGGCCCAAATATGGCTAAAATCACTTGAGAAATGCTCAAAATGGTGAAAAAGAAGCTAAGAAGCTCCTCCTTTTTCCATATTTTCATGACAAGAATTATCTTTACACATTTAATATTATTTTCCCTGAGAAAGAGTTCTTCATTGTGCCATAATTTCTCTTTGGCGAAATTGATTTATGCCAAGCTGAGATTGTGCTCTTGATTCATGGTGTTTTGTAAAAAAAATAAAAAAAGTGACAAGAAACCTATATACAAATGTACAATATACAAGGTGGTCAAAAATGGCTTGTTGTGTACATTGAATTCACTGACAATTAGCAAAATATTTATACAGGCTTACATCTCAAATATATATTAGCACTTCAGAGTGCCCATTGCATAAAAGTACAAATATTCTAATGTACATGTATGTGTGAGTGTCATTATCAGAATGTGTGTGAATGTCATTAACAGAAAACAGAGAGAGATACTTGGAAGTACATTTACCTGTATGTATGTGTGTCACTAACTGGGACTGGATCTTGGAAGTACATGTCAAGGAATGAATCAACAGTTTCCATCACTATGCTTCGAACCTGCAATCAAAAAGACATTTAAGCCAATTGTTTTTTTATTTGGCCTATTTCAATTTTAAAACTGATTCAAACATGTGCACTACATGTAGGTGTACAGGTGTACATGTTTTACTGTATCAAATGATAATGAAAAGCACAAGTCAGCTGTCAATCTAATTAAAGGGAGACTTAGCATACTCTTCAGTGTTCCTAGGCTGAATAAAAACGTTTCATCATCCTATAGTATTTGAACTGGATTGATAAGTACATTCAAACTATTGAATCATGATGACACCTAAAACACTTCAAGCGGGACACATCAATTTATTTCTAAAATCATTATTAAAACCAGTTGGTGAAGATTCTGGTCTTTATATGAGCTGCTAGGGGTTAACCACATATGCCATCTATTCATTCAAATGTAATTTGAAAAACACAAGTCAATTGGAAATTCAAAATTCAAATCTAATTTTGGGCTAAATCACATTTCTATATATGCATACCATGCATGTATTCCTATTTACTTACAAGGTAATAGTGTGGTATCTGCCATGATTCATAACTCAATGGCCCCAATTCTCCATTATAAGGTCTGTGTAATCTTCTCCATCTTGCTTGCTGCAACTTCCTATAAGAAAAATAATGTCACCATCATTAACTTAAAGGTAATATATAAATTAATTAATTATAGATATCAACTTTAATGTTTTACTTGCATGTACTATAAGCAAGTGATTTTTACCTAATAAGGACGGCAAAAACATGTAACAGGAATTAATTGATGTACACATTAGAGGAAGTCACATTTCAACATTTGCTAATTTCAGAGATAGGGAGTCAGAGGAAGAAAAGGATGAAAAACTAAAATAGGGATGGGAAAAAAGGACAGATAAAAGATTGGAAAGGACAAAGAAGAAGAATGTGTATGTAGAGGAGGGGGAGATTTTACACTCACCTAAGACTATGGATGTTGGTCTTATTCTCATGAATGTATGTAGAGGAGGGGGAGATTTTACACTCACCTAAGACTATGTATGTTGGTCTCATACTCATGAATGTATGTAGAGGAGGGGGAGATTTTACACTCACCTAAGACTATGTATGTTGGTCTCATACTCCTGAATGTTGTCTTTCACATTGTTGATAAATATGTTCACATCATGTGGTTTCCTTCTTCCACTGATAATACCTAAATGTAAGATGATATTCTCTATAAATATTTTCATTAACCCTAGGTAATGATAACATACATGTATATGCTATCACGACCCTGTCATATTCACAAAAACACATATTACCTCGAGCTTTTATGACCTTTATGTTAATGGTTGACCTTCAGCTTCATATAAAACCGATAAATAGAATAGAAAAAACTAGTCTAGGCTACAAGCCTTTGTGTTCCCCCCGCACTAAAGTGTTTTGAGTTTTAAGTTTTGAAATAATTCTATGGTCAATTTGGCAATAGCAATACTAGTAGAGTAAATTTTTCCAGAATCCTCTTGGAACATGCACCTTAAGTTTTGTGTAAAGTAACTATGCAAAGTACAAAAATTCACTGCAGCTCATGAGACTTCAGTGAAGACATCAACACCATTTAATAGAGGTCACTATACTACATGTAGTACATTGTCTTATTTGAATGAAAGTTCTCACCTCTGTCAGGCCTTGTACATGCCTCCTTCTCAAGTAGTTTCTGTTTTCTTGCTCTAAGGTCTCTAAAATAAAGGTAAACAGTATAATATATTATTTAAAAATAGTCATGCAGAATTTTCAGTTCATCAATTCATTTTCCTAATGGATCAAAGCAAGTAGTTATTCACTATTCATTATTCATTATTAGACAATGACTAATGTTAATAAGAGAATTATTGGAATTCATGCACAAATGGTTAAAATATTGTATGTGAGGCTTGTAATGTTTAGTTCAGTCTAACAAAGGAATGATGTGATAATCTCAGGTGATAATGTCCATGGTTGAACAGGCCCGTAGCCAGGATTGCCAAGGGGGGTTCACTTTTTGAAAAATTCCAGGGGGTTAACTTGTGACAATTTTGGTCCAAAAATGGCCAAAATCACTTAAAAGTGCTCAGTGATTTTGAATCCCCCTGGCTACGGGCCTGTTAAATCTAATCAAGATCAAGTAAAATGGTTACTAAAACATATGAGCAAAAATTTAACAAGTATTCAGCTTAAGGACACAAACATTTTGTATTTATCAAACTTTTGAAAAACAGATTGTTTGCATAATGCCATTTTAATGTACTTTTGTTACTCTTTGCTATATAATCCGCCAACCACCAACCGCTGTCAAAAGAAACGGAGACCATAACAATATGTCACCACTTTTTGGTGGTGAAATAAAAATTGTCATTTTCAAAGAGGAATGGCAGAATGAATCAATGATCTATGATTTTAATTGTTCCAAAATTATATGCAAAATGTTACCACCTGCCATTTGTAACAGATGTCAACAACCGAACAATGACCACCAAATACAAACCATCGAACACCATCCAAAACAGTTGGAGACTATAACAATATTTTACCATATTCTGATGGTGACATTATAATTAAACTAGACTATCCAAGAAATATTCTGTTGTTTAGTTTTGAAGATAATACACCCTTTTAATAGTCTACTCTCCTGTATAAATTACTCACTTGAGATGCAGTAATAGAGAATCACTTTTCTTAGCATGCTGCTTAGTTCGCTCCTGGATTTGCTCATGGAGTGTGACATGTTGACGCCTCACACTTCTGTCAGTGTTTTGCGCCATGCTGGAGTCTCAGATCATATCATGAATTGGAGGAGGATGATCAAGATCTGAAGACAAGAACATACTGGAAATAC